ACCTGCAAGACGATGCAAAGATGAACAATGTGAGACTAATAGGCATCAATGAGAAGGAAGGAGTCAATACAAATGATGTAAAAAGAAAATGGGCAGAAGTAATAGCAGAAAACTTCTCAAATATGGGGCAACAATCTGACATTCAGCTAACCAAAGCATATAGAACTCCAAGTAGCATCAACCCAGTGAAAACCACACGCAGACATATAATAATCAAGATCCCAGAAATTCAGTATAGGAAAAGTATACTAAAAGCCACTAAGGAAAATAAACAGATCACATTTAAAGGAAAACCCATCAGAATAACAGCAGATTTCTCTTCACAAACCATCAAGTCAAGAAGAGCAGGGAACAAAGTACTTCAAGTCTTGCAAGAAAACAAATTCCAACCCAGACTGATATATCCTGCAAAACTCTCTTTGAAGTGTAATGGAGAAATGAAATACTTCCATGACAAAGAACAACTAAAGAATTTCATGATGATGAAGCCAAGCCTACACAGACTACTAAATGATATTCTAGAGAGGGAGCAAATTGATCACAGCCCCATGAATGAGAATGGAAAGAACCCATTAAATAGGGCAAACAATTAAACACAGGAGAATAAGAGAACCAGGGATTGAACTCAGGCCCCTAAACTTGCCAGGCAAGCACTTATTCTACTGAGCCATCTCCCCGCATGATTTTTTTCAACTCAGGCCCCTAAACTTGCCAGGCAAGCACTTATTCTACTGAGCCATATCCCCGCATGATTTTTTTCTTTATAAGAATTTTTGGACAATTTCATTTTTGTGTATCTTGGTGTGATTTTATTTAAATGTCTCTGAGAAAGTTTCATTTTTCTTGTAAATGTTTTATTATAAGTTGAACTAAATTAAAAAAAGCCAAACTTGTAAATGTAATTAGTGCTGAACCCAGTATAGTGTTCCAGAGGAAGATGGAATGTCTGAAATTCTCATGTCTGGGATGGTGCCTTCTAAGTCTACTCATTATTCAAGATAATACTGAAGTAAGTTGGTTTCTCACTTAAAAAAAAAAATTGAACTGTATGTTTTCAGTAGCTAAATTATATACTACATACATTACATTTAAATAACACAGCTTATACATTTTAAAGCAAAATAAAGTGTTTTTGATAAATGATAAAGTTGAAATAATTCATTACAGGCACACATACAATATAAGAAGGGTGAAGGGAGAAATAAAGAGAAGAAACAAAGATAAGAATGAGGTTTTATTTCTCAGCTCAAAAATTAAACAGGAGACAGAGCAGAAACACAGATGGTGAAAGAAAGGAAGCTGTCACAGTACTATTCTATATCTAGAAAAGTATCTTTCAGAAATAAAGAACACCAGAAATGCTAGCCATATGATGGGCAAAAATATAAGATTTTAAGCAATTATTTGAAACCTTAAAAAAAGATCATTGGTCATATAAAGGAAAAGTAGTAAGAATAAAAAAAAAAAAAGAAAGAAAAGAAAATTGAACCTAAATTTCTAATCTTTTTTGACGATAACAGTACAGAATATACTAACTATTGTTACTGTTCTACAGACTTATTTTGAAATTGTATACCATTTTTTTTACTGTTTATTTTTCTTTAAAATAAAAAATAGATTTTTTCTTCTCAACCAGGGATTGAACTCAGTCCCTTGCGCTTGCCAGGAAAGTGCTTATTCAACTGAGCCATCTCCCCAGCCCTGAAAAATAGATTAAAAAATAAAGCACAAGGTTTCTACAATACAAAGCCACTATTTAACTCATTACTTTAGTTTTCTAGTAACTAAAGGACACAATAAGATCACAAGTATAATAACACGTAATTTACTATAACAATATTTTCAATAAATAGAATCATTTGTGAAATTCCTTTTTTGTACGCTGTTCATTCTAATTATATTTACTGAAATATATGTTCAACCTAATAATAAAAAAGTTTTTGTTTAAAAAATAAAGAGTTCTATAGAAGTTGGAAAATACTCTGTTTTCCATTGTGATAAATGTTTTGTGACTGCATAAAGAAAACTGTGTTTCAGAATATGGCACATGAGAATCCCCAAAGATTTACCTGAATATAAGCAGATAGTCCTGTGCAGGGGCTTGTTTTGTGATTTATGCTGGTCCTAATGGGAACAGTTTCACACACTAATTATGTCTCTACAAATACAGAGAGCAAAATACCCCATACAACATTGGTACACCAGGAAATGTTTCCTGGGGTAAATCCTTCTGTACTTCCAGGAAACATAATTTATAGCAAAAAGTTATTTTATTAAATGGTTGTGGTTGCTAAAGTTAAAACCAAGAATGTTATATAAACTCAAAAAATGTGATTCGTGATTGTAAATAAAAAAAGCTATCAATGTTCTGTGAGGCAACATTTTGCCTAAGAACCAATATGAAATAGCATTTTAATGCTTGATAGGTAAATTTATTGGATAAAGAAATATTCATTACTAAACACATATTTGCAATTTTTGCTTCATAAAATAAATAATGAAATTGTCTTTGTAATATTTAATTACAAGACAGATACATCACACAGCTTTCAAATGACACTTTGGGAGGGTGTGAAGAATGGAGAAAAACCTGTAATCCTTGTTGAATTATGTTTGGAGTCTCTAGTTTTGCTGTCAAAATCACAGTTGCATGGATGCTGCAATAGTCAAATACTCACTGAGGGAAGGAAAAATATTCTGGGCACAGCTTATGTTTGTTGGAACCACAACACTTATGGTTGCTGCATGTCCAAGGGTGACTTATTCTTTAATTAAACTCACTGGGACATCAGGCCTAACTGAAGGGAGACTGCACCCCCAGAGATGCCAGGACAATAACAATCTAGAACAGGATTTCCAGAGACATATCCTCTGGGAAAAGTGCATGATTGAAAAACTCGAGGTCAAATCTCCAAAAAGAAACAATCCAGTATAAGCAGAAACAAAATATGGAAAAAGTCTCTAATTACAAATTATGGGATGTGGCTTCAAGGAAAGGTAATAGGAGAGATGGTTAGGATACAAATTTATGAGCATTATATTTGTGTTTATAGATACCTTGTTGAATACCAGCATTTTAGACAAATAAGAGGAATAAGAAAACTAGTTTTAGAATTCATTTTCCTCACTGGGCTCGGGGAGATAACAGTAGAATAAGCGCTTGAATGGAAAGCAAAGGGTCCTGAGTTCAATCCCTGGTACCTCAAAGAAAAAAAAAATTCGTTTTTTTCACTGTAGGCAAATTTGTTAATTGCATGGTCTAGTATTTTTCACTTAACATCTGAACTCACAAATTGAAATGACCAATTTTAGAAGTCATCGAAAACTTAATTCAAATACAGAGAAAGCCTAATTCACATGTATGAAAAAATGTATGTATCAGTTTCCAGCAGGTTGGTCATCAGGGCACTTATCACAACAGGTATTAGAACAGATATAGGGTTGCCCTGTATATACGCAAGTATTCGTGAACTATTGACCAAAATACACAGCTGGTAGACCATGACATGTATTGCTAAACATTTTGAAGGATATAAATTGTATGACTTTTATTTATAATAAGTAACTCAAATAAAAATTGGTGATAAGATAGCTCAAACAATATTCCCAGGTATTTAGTTTTTTAAAAATAATATATCTAGTATAGAGTCTACATGTGCTGGGATTACAGACAGGCACCACCACGCCCAGTCTCAGTCACCATCTTAGCGTGCCCCCTGGGGCGGGGTAGGCATGGCATACCAGGGATCAAATGCTGGGTCCCTCCATGTGCATAAGCAAGTGCTTTAATCCACTGGGCTATCTGGCTGGCCCCAGACCCATATTTTTAAAATTAAACAACGTATGTGACTTTAAATATGATAACCTGTCTACCACCGTTTGATTTTTTTAAGGGAAAAACAACTAATGAATTGTAAAATTCCAAGAAGCATATGTCATTTTAAACATTTGCACTGTTTTTTGCTGTTTAAATTGATGGCTCCTTTCTGATTCTATTAACAATAAAGAATTTTTCCTCTTTTAGCATAACATGCTAGACAACATTACAAAATTATGTCTTTAGTATCACACAAAATAAAATATTAAGATAGATATTTCAAATATATATGTGTAGCATTATTTTGTGCAATTCTCAGAATGGAAAAAAACTATATTAAGGACGTTATTTTGAAAAAAATATATCATACAATTAGAAATTAAATTTTATGCTTTTTAACATCTCTTTATTGGTATATATTGACAACATAGTGCATATATTCCTTGAGTAGAGCTTATGGACAGAGCATGTCTTCATCAACTTCTTTCTTTTTTTAAGGATTTTAGTGTGTGTGTGTATGTGTGTATGCACACAAGGTCTCATTACAGAGCTCAGACTCATAGTGATCCTCCTGATTTCTGAATCCCCAGTGCTGGGAATAGAGATGTGCACCACCACGCGTGGACTTCATCATTATTTTCATCCCCTTCTATATAACTTGCTCCAAATCTTGATTTTCCTCCTATTTGACAATCAGCTGTCTCCATATCTCAAATCATTTTTACTTACATTGTAATTTTTATTTATAGTTTGGTTTTCCCATAGAATTCAGAAAATGCGTGATTTTATGTTTTGTAACAATCCTAAGAAAATCTCATGAAGTAAAATAAGCTGATAGCATTAATTATGACACATAAATACATAGTCTTAACTGAAATATTTCAACACAAAATCAATACATATTTTTTACTAATTCTAATAGCTTGAAAATATATGTTAATTGTTACAGGAATTCTCATAGTAAGGGGCTGGGGAGATAACTCAGTGGAATAAGCGCTTCCCTGACAAGCGCAAGGGCCTGAGTTCAATTCCCGGTTCTGAAGAAAAAAAAAAAGAATTTTCATATTATATATTCTTCTTTATTGTTCAATTCTTAAACTAGAAGGAAATTTCAGTATACTGTAATAATCACTCATGACTTCATGGAAAAACCAGCTCCGCATTGAAAATAAGTGAAATACACTCAAATCTGCTTCCTACCCCAGAGCTTCCTCATGGCACTTTTTATTTCTGAATTTCTCAGAGTATAGATGAGGGGGTTCAACATAGGTGTGATTACAGTGTAAAACACAGTCAAAGATTTATCAGTAGGTAAGGTAGAGGGAGGTCTCACATAAATGAAAATATAAGGAACAAAGAACAGGACGACCACAGTGATGTGGGAGCCACAGGTAGATAAGGCTTTGTGCCTCCCTTCCTGACTCAGGCTCTTCATGGATTGCAGAATGATCCCATAAGAGACAAGCAAGTTTGTAAAGATGGCCACAGAGATCATCCCATCATCGGCCAGCACAATGAGGCTAACTACATAGGTGTCAGTGCAGGCGAGTTTTATTAAGGGGTACATGTCACAGCCAAAGTGGTCAATAATGTTGGGACCACAGAAAGGAAGATTGTAAATGAAAAGTACATGTGGGACTGCATGCAGAAGACCCCCAAACCAGGTCAGGAGTATGAGCATGGCACAACGCTGTTGGTTTATGATGGCCAAATAATGCAAGGGTTCGAAGATGGCCACAATGCGGTCATAGGCCATGACAACCAGAAGTATAACATCAACATCACCAAATAAGTGAGATACAAAAAGCTGCGTCATGCAAGCTTTGAAGGAAATGGTTGTCTTTTCATAGAGTAAGCCTATAATCAACTTTGGGGTAACTGTACTGGAATAAATGGCATCCATAAATGATAAGTAGCCAAGAAAAGTGAACATCGGTGCATGCAAGACTGGACTGAGTGCCACGGTCAGGACAATGAGAAAATTGCCTGCAATTGTTACCATGTAGATCAGCAAGAAAAAAGCAAACAATATTTTCTGATCCTGGAGGTTCTGAATGAGTCCCAAGAGCACAAACTCTGTCACGTTGTTCCTTTGCTCCATGTGTTCTCTTGTGTGTACTGTGTCACTGGTGAGCCAAGAGTTATCTGTGAACAGAATTCTTAACATGACTTCTGACTTTTAAGAAAATAGATTTATTCATTTATTTACAAGCACTGTGATTTTTATACTTTGTTGTGAGAGTTTATAAAATTACAATTGATGAAAGCAAGTTGATATTTTGCAGAGAATTGGTGTTGGAAATAAGTAACTGCAGACATGTTGTGGAAAGGATTTACTATGAAAGAATAATGTCACAGTCATTGTTAGCAGTCTCTTTACAATATAAAATATTTGCATATATGATTATATGTATACACTCAAATAAATATAAATTAGATTTCATATAAAAGCAGCAAGATATACCTTATTTACTGCAAGGTCATATGAGAGGTGACTCTACAATGTTTTGGTAGAAAAATTTACTTAGTAAACTCTCTCAAACAGATGTATTAATCTATTCCATTTGTTTTAACCATTAGTAATTCCTTCAATAATGAAATAGATGAGCTATATCAACAATTCTATCACTACTTAGGGAACATAAAATGTCACCATCTAAGATATACAAAATCTTTGAAGAAATCAATACATGAAATATAATCCAATAGCCAAGTGGGTAAGAGATATAAGCAGGAAATGAAAGAAAATGACATCCACATGACCAGTAAAGAAAAGATGCTGCCATTCACCTGTAAGGAGAAAATGACAAAAAACCCCATACAAATATAATTTCATAGACATTATACTTTAAAAGTGATAAAGATTTCAAGGTGAATGGTGAAATTTTAAAAGGGTGTTTTCTTTACTTTGACATTTATAACTTTTGGAACACAATTAAACGATCTCTGGGGAAGTTAAATTCTACATGCCCTTCACCACAATGACATACTTTGTGATCTATTGCATGGAATTTAAAGCCTTAGTACCTAAGTGCATATGTAAAGCAAGTTTTTTGTATTATTTTGATGGTATTTTTAAAAGTTAACAATTTAAGTTGAATAATAACAAGGAAATAGGGGAACATAGTATAAAATCTCCTAAAAGTAAAAGCCGTAATTTATGAGAGAATTTTAATTATGTCAGTTCTCTTAGAGAAATTTTCACAAGTTACCATTAAATAAGAAGTGGACAACTATGTATCACCGGGCATTATTGTAAAATAAATATAAAAATAGTACATACCTATGCATTTACAAACGTGTGATTCTATATGATCATAGGGAATATGGAAATACTTAGGTAGGTTATAGACAGTGTATATTTGTGCTATCTGGGCAGGCAGGACTGCACTGTGTAATTTATATGTAGATTTCATTTTGGAATGTATGAGGATTAAAATGACAGAAGGGGACCAACTACCGGAGGGAAAAGAAGAAAGGGGATGAAAGAATAAGGAAGAGGAGGATGATTACCAGGAGATGAAGAAAGAGAAGGAAAAAAATGAGGAAAGAGAAGAAGGTACTGACGGGCAGACAGAGAGGCCCAAGGAATCGTCACACAGAGAATGAAAACTGTACTATAAGCAGGTCAATATTCACTAGCCTTTTGCATTTTAAGCTATTCCTACTACTAACAGATAATCATTAATCTCTGTTAATCTTTACTTTAGTCTGATTCATGAATTCTACCCTGGTTCATTTTCATAAAGAATTTTGTGACTATTAATATGGCTCGTAACTCTGCTCTTGGTGGTTTCATTCTGTCCACAACTCTTAATAATACCCAATCCTCTAATATCCCCTCCATTTCCTACATCATAAATTTTTCTCCCTGTATCACACCATTCTGTCCAAATATTTATACAGGTGATTTACATGTCAAAAAAAATCTATCCTCTTATTGAACATCTGCTTTCATCAAACAGACTACCTCACTTTTCAGCTCTTCTTAAACAAAGTTCGTCCCTGTGCTGATATCAGTGGTTCAAGTCCTCTTGATTTCCCCACCATTCCAATGAAATGAAGGAATAGCTTTCTTAGTCAAGATCCACTGGAAGCTCTTGGAAGTTGCACATTTCACCTTTACAAGGAGCATCTCCCCCTTTAATGTTCAACATCTTCATAACACCTTAAAGAAAACTTGACTGATCCTATGTAGATATTTGCAAGTAACTACAATCTAAACAACTTCCAGAGAGTCACATTTCTTTTTCTTTTTTTTTTTTTGACTTTTTCATAACAATTTATTTCTTTTTTCCTTTTTTTCTTTTCAAAGTTTTATTGATAAACATATAGAAATGAGACAGTTTCAAATCAAATAGAAAGTACAGTTTCAACAAATAATACACTGCATACATTCTT